AGACAGAGAGAGAGAGAGAGAGAGAGAGTTGAATACACACCCCTCATATTGGATAAAAAAGTTAACAACCCAAAACTAGAGCACTGTATTTTTTTTGGATGGTCACACATCTAGGTGTTTGGGAACTCGATCCTTTTTTATTTTTCAGAATTACCATCTGGTGGTGATTCCTGAAAGGACATGGTTTCAATGAGTCCTAGGACTCATACTTAGATATGCATGCATCTCCTCTTTATGATCTATTTTAGAGATAAATTTTGGACCTGGTTTTTTAGAGATATATAATCTCTAACATCATCATCATTACTATCATCCGAGCCTTATCTCGACTACTTGGGATCGATTATAGGAATCATGTTCCGCCATTCTGCTCTATATACCCGTAGTAAGATAATAAGTCAACATATCTTTTTTCACTACTTCCACCCTTATCCTTTTGGGCCTTCCCTTTACCCTTTTAGAGCCGTCCACTTGAACCAAATCGCCCCTCCTAACCAGTGTCGTATTAGGTCTATGTTGTACATGGCACCAAGTATGTTTTCTCCCATCGTATCGTCCTTTGAAGCCACACCTAAGTTCTCTCAAACGTATGTATTCCACATTCTATCATTTCTTGTCTTGCCACATGCCCATTCAACATCCTCATCTCAACTACATTCATCCTATGGTATGTTGTTTCTTGACTGCCTAATATTTCATCCCATAAAGCATGACAGGCCTTACAGCTGTCTTATATAATTTTCCCCTCAGTTTCATTGGTATGTGGCAAACACATAAAACTCTAGATGCACATCTCTACTTTGTCCACCCAGCTCTAAAAAATACAAGAAAAAAAGAACCGGCAACAGGCAAGCACAAAGCAAGAAAGATAAGGTTGGAAATAAATAATAGAAAAAGAGAATACCAGAATTTACGTGGTTTATCACAGATGTGACTACATCCACAGGCGAAGATGATCAATATTTTCTATTAAATCAAAGAAAAAAAATTATAAGGCACTTATTTGAGAGAACCAATGACACAAAACTCAATCTCCCACCAAGTCATCTTCTCTCTCTACAAAATAACCCAAGAGTTTTTCTAATTTTTTGGCACTTTCTCTCTCTACAAAAGCAACTTAAATGGAGAAAAGAAAGATCCCCAGTATGTGATGGCCTCCACAACTTTTCCTAATCTTTATGGACTTCTAATTTTATCCTTTTCAACTTGTAGACCCATATGTTTATCCTAACCTACATGGACTTACCCATAAATCCTAAATAATAGGCACTACCCAATTAAATAGGAAAACCCAAAAAAATAGGACACTTAAAAAGATAAAGAAAACAATCCCTTAAAATTAGGGGTTCGAGACATATCATAACAAATCTCCACCTTGGGTTGAATTCCAAAAGAGATTCCTATCGACCCACACGTGCCCCCATAGGCACTCACCTTGGAAACACATTAGTTAAGTCCAAACATAGCTTGAACTTCTGTAATGAAACCAACTTTGTCAGTATATCTGCAACATTCTTCTTTATGTTAATCTTTAGTAATAAGATATTACCTTCAGCTATTATCTCATTGATAAAATGGTACCTGACATCAATATGCTTCATCCTTGCATGATATACCTAGTTCTTCGCAAAATGTATTGCACTTTGACTATCACAATAAATAATAGTCCCATCTTGTCGTAAGCCCAAATCGCTTACAAGCCCTCTATGCCATATAGCTTCTTTTACTGCATCGTAACTGCCATGTATTCTGCTTCAGTCATAGACAAAGCAACTGCGGTTTGTAGCATCGACTTCCAACTGATCGGAGTTCCTGCAAGTGTAAACACATAACTTGAAGTAGATCTCCTACAGTCAAAATCACCTGCAAAGTCAGTATCAACATCGCCAATAACCTTGTCATCAAACTTGTTATTTCTATCAAACACGAGACCCACATCTAATGTACCCCTTAGGTAAAGAAGAATCCATTTTACTGCATGTCAATGCTCCTTTCCTGGATTAGCCATATACTTGCTAACAACACTAACGACATGATAAATATCTGGACAAGTGCAAACCATTGCGTACATGACTTCCAACTGCATTCGCATAAGGAACATGTGACATATGTTCCTTTTCAGCATCTGAACTTGGAGATAATACTGTTTACAATCTGAAATGTGCAGCAAGAGGCATCCTAAATCTAGCGAAGACCTTCTAAATATATTCCTTATGAGATAACCACAATTTACCCAACTTTCGAGCTTTGCGTATCTACATGCCCAAAATTTTCTTTGTTGAACCTAAATCTTTCATCTCAAATTCTCTGGCATGTTGAGTCTTCAATTTACTAATTTTTGAAGAATTCTTCACACCAATAAGCATGTCATCCACATAGAGCAATAAATAAATGAATGAATCATTAGTAAATCTTTTAAAATAGACATAATATACTTACTTCTGACATTCCCGTGTCCAATCATGAATGTATCAAAGTGCTTGTACCACTGCCTGAGAGACTGCTTTAGGGCGTACAATAACTTCTTTAGCTTGCAAACATAGTCCTCCTTGCTGTTAACGACAAACCCTTATGATTGGATCATATAAATCTGTTCTTCTAACTCTCTATGAAGGAATGCTGTCTTGACATCAAGCTGCTCTAACTCCAAATCAAACAATACAACTATAGCTAGTATTACCCAAATAGAAATATGTTTCACAACTGGAGAGAAAATCTCCTTATAGTCAACACCTTCTTTCTACGCATAGCCTTTTGCAACGAAACGTGCCTTAAACTGATCACTACCAGTCTCAGGTGACCATTCTTTCTTCTTATAGACCCTTGTACATCGAATGGCTCTCTTGCCTTTAGGCAACTTCACAGAGATCCCAAGTACGATTCTTCTGAAGAGACTCCATTTCTTCATCCATGGCATCACTCCACTTGCTATCGCCACTATCCTGCATAGCTTCCATAAAAGTGGATGGCTCTTGGCTTGTGGCGACCAATGCATAAGCCACCATGTTCTCACAACTGTGTCGTACCACTAGCCTTTTTATTCTCTTTCCCTTTCTAAGTTGAGTCTCTTCCCCATGTGGAGTAGGCTCAAAGACCTCTTCATGATCAACATCTTCCTCCACTCTTTCACAAGGACTTTCTGGTACACATTTTGGAGTATTTTTTAGAGTCGTCAACTCTACCTCAACTGCATCACTGCTATTGCTGTTTTTTTTTTTTGCACCCTTCTTAATGTGTTTTAACATGACAGACTCATCAAACTTAACATCACAACTGATAATAAACTCAAGCAACTTGGGATCTGGGCACCATATTCTATAACCTTTAACTCCATCTGCATAACCAAGAAAAATATACTTCTTTGATCTGGAACGCAACTTATCATCATTCTCATAAACATAAGTAGGACAATAAAAAATTCTTAAATGAGAATAAGCAACAGGTTTACCGGGCCATGCCTCTTGTGGTGTTTTGTAGTCTATTGTTGTAGATGGGTGACCTGTTGACGACGTAACACGCTTTATTGACCGCCTGTACCTAAAAGTCCTTTGACAAACCAGCATTACTTAACATGCCACAGGCCTTTTCTAGAAGTGTCATGTTCACGAGTTCAACAACTTTGCGGCATCTTCGGAGTGATGAAGTGACGAACAATTCCTTCACTCTTGTAAAAATTCACAAACTATACTGAAGTGTACTTTCCACCATTATCAATCCTCAAGAACTTGACCTTCTTCCCAATCTGTCTTTCGACCATAGCTTTCCAACACTTGAATGTGTTAAACACATCTGCCTTTTTCTTTAATATGTAAATCCACACCTTCTTTGAAAAATCATCTATGAAAGAAACAAAGTATAAAAATCCACCTTTTAGACAACCAACGTAGAGGCCCATACATCTGAATGAACATACTCAAGAATGCCTTTTATGGTATGATCTGACGTGCGAAATTGTACCCAACACTGTTTACCATAGACAGCGCTCACAAAAGTCCAACTTGCACTTCTTCACACCATTGATCAATTGACGTTTTCTAAGTTCTACCAAAGCTCTCACCCATGTGGCCCAACCACATATGCCACAACTGAGTCAACTCAGAATCACTATCATTAGATACAGAAACTGTTGTTCTATTTGTGATAGTATTCCCAAGCAACACATAAATTCGGTTTGATCATCATGCCTTTCATCACAATCAGAGCACCCTTTAGAGCCTTCAGAACTCCACCTTCTCCAACAAATTTGCAGCCATTGGAGTCTAAGGCATCCAAAGAGATAAGATTCTTCTTCAGATCTAGAACATGTCTAACATCAATCAAGGTTCTCACAACTCCATCATACATCTTGATAGTAATTGTCCTAACACCAATGATCTTGCAAGCTGTATCATTCCCCACCAAATCTGACCCATCATCAATGCTCTTATATGCGGTGAACCAATCCCGATGAGGGCACATTTGACAGGAACATCCCGAATGAAGAACCCATGAGTCTTTAGAGTTATCACAAGTTGTCGAGACTAACAACACATTATCTATTCCACTTACCGAGCTTCCATAAACTATATTGACTGCTTTAGATGCTCGTTTTCTTTTTCTTTGAGTTTTTGACAATAATTCTTAATATGCTCATTTTTCTTACAGTAAGAACAATGAATATTGCCTTTTCCTGATCTAGATTTGGATAGGGACGTGCCCTGACCTTCATGTCCCTTTCACTTCTCTCATCAAATCTCCCTCTAGCCACTAAACCATCTGCATGTGGCTAAACATTACCCTATCTCTTCCTCAAATCATTAGAGAGAAGAGTCGAAGTCACATCCTCCATCTCTATGACATATTTTCCATAAAGTAATATTGTGACTAGATGCTCATATGAATGAAGGAGTGAGGATAACAAAATTATAGCCTTACCCTCATCATCCATTTTAACACTAATATTCAATAATTCACAAATAATTTTATTAAAATAATCCAGGTGCTCATTGATATTTGTACCTTCATTCATCCTCATGGTACAACTTATGCTTAAAAAATAGCCGATTTGTGTGGGACTTCATCATATACAACATGCTTCAAAAGGCTTGATGTTTAATCCTCATTGACAACATTAAATAGCACTTCACTAGATAAGCACAATCGAATAGTACTCATAGCACTCAAATCTAAGTTTTCCCAATCCTTATCTGACATGGATTCCGGTTTCTTCGACTTTCCTTTCTGAGCTTTACGTAAACCTTGTTGCACTAGCAAATCTCGAACATTGATTTGCCAAATTCCAAAATTATTTTTGCCATCAAATTTCTCCACCTCGAACTTTGCATTCAAAACTTTTACCGCCATACCGACAGCCCCAAACAAGCTCTTATACCACTTGTTGTGTGGGGATGCCCTAAACTCGACGGGTTGATTTTTGGCAAATAAAGTCTAAGAAAAATAAAACCGGTAACAAGCCAACAAGCAAGAAAAATAAAGCAGAAAAGAAAATAATAGAAAAAGAGAACACTAGAATTTACGTAATTCGTCACAGATGTGACTGCATCCACTGGCGAAGACGATTGATGTTTTTCATTAAATCAAATAAAGAAAATTACAAGGCACTTACTTGAGAGAACCGGAGACACATAACTCAAACTCCCATCAAGCTTTCTTTTCTCTACAATTTTCTCTCTCTACATAATAACCCAAGAGTTTTCTCGATTTTTCTGGCACTTTCTCTCTTTACAAAAGCAACTTAAATAGAGAAAAGAAAGAACCCCAAAAATGGTATGTGATGGCCCCCACAACTTTACATAATCTTTATGGACTTCTAACTTTATCCTTTTCAGCTTGCAGACCACCCATATGCCTACCCTAACCTATATGGACTTACCTATAAATCCTAAATAGAAGCACTACCCAATTAAATAGGAAACTCCAAAAAAATAGGAGACTTTAAAAGACAAGGAAAACAATCCCTTAAAATTAGGGAATCAAGACATATCATAATAATAACAAGCTAAGACCAGCCCTCAAAGCCAAAGTCTCTTCTACATGTAGCAAAAACTGCACATGAAGTACAAAGCAAAGAAGTTTCAAACCAAATATGTCACAGAGAAATTTCTTCCACCTAACTGCATACGGATAAACTTTGCTACAGCTGTCAAACTTGAGCTTTGAGCAACCAAAATATAAAGGGTTTAATGTATCTTGTTTGAGGAAGAGTAATAAAAAAATGGAAATTGTCAGACATGCCTCAAGACAAGACCCTTAGCTGACAAAAATGTTATAGCCTATGACTGAAGGCCATAGAAGATACAGCTACAAGAACCATGAGTATGCCATACAAGTTATTCCCCAAAGCCCACACATTGCTTGAGTTATAGGCCTCTGACCTATACCACAACCTGGCAGAGGTGAAGTGAAAGGTGAAGGGACACGATTGGTACTTGTGTGACACTGCACTCGCACGAGTATGCCTCTACACATGCACATAGAATGCATAAAAAAGAAAAATCATTTATAAACAAGATTTTCATAGCATATATAAACTTATGAACCCTTAGATCCAACTAAATTCTCTCTAAAGTTTTTACCTTCCTTCATCTGAACAAATTTCATCTTCATCTTGCTCCATTTCATCTACCAAAGAGATCTCATCGACAGATTGGTGAACAAGCTTATCTGTCAAATACATCTTGGCCATGTCAGCATCATCATCCAATAAATGTTCAAGTTCATCCCTAACCTGAAAAATATTAGTGAAATAGTACACTAAATTAGAAGAAAAGGAGAACTTTGCAGCAAACAAAATCACCAGAAGCAAACTAAACAAAAGCCTCCACAAGGCCCACTAGTGGTTATAGAACTGAGAATAATAACTAGTAGCCTTAATGCACCATACTATGTATGTACTGAAGTGGAATCCATCTCTAAGATTGGGAACATGCTATTTCACCAAAAGAGAAAACACGTGGTTAGTGAACAAGAAATGAACATCAAATAGACTCATGAATAACACTGAATGAGGAAACCCTAGGTGTAATCGTCCAACCCAAAGATACTATTTGTTCTAAGCAACATTAATGGAAGAATACGAAAGCAGTAGATCTAGGAAGTGGCACAGCTAAGAAGTCTCTCGTATCCATTAATCCCAAGATTTGGAGCAAATAGCAAGCATCATTTGTACGGCAGCAGTAATTTACTACCTTCTAAATACCTCATTTAACTTAGTTTGTGCCTGTTACACCAAAGAATCACAGACCTTGATTCTAAACAGTAAATCTCAGCCCTCCATTCATAGACCAAATATATGGAAACAAAATCTACTATACTCCGGTTAAGTTTGTTAAAAAGGAATCTGACTCACAAATATTTCATAAACCAAGTCTTTCGAGAATTAGAAATAGAGTCCATTATTATTTGGGTAAGTTTATAGAGGCCATGATTTTTTCTGGCTAAGCTTCTAAAAGAGGAACACGTATTCCAACTCTCTCTATCTCCATCTCATCCAAAGATTCCTCCCTTTTAATCTCCATACCTGAATTTTATTGTGATCCAATCCATTTCTCTTGCTATGACCAACCTAAGTTTAAGCCAAAAATCCCAGCACAAAAAATTCATTTTAATTTTAGGACATCCCTACCGCCCCTTCCTCCCTCCCTCCCTCCCTCCTGCATGCATCATATGGACCATGAAGTATAGCTCCAATCTCTCTCATGCATCACATGGGCCATGAACTAGTAGCTCCAATAGGCAATTCCAAATTCGATACTAAGTTTCGGACAAGGGCTTTCCAAATCAGATAAAGTTAACAGCATTGGAAAATTAGCTATATAACACACATATAGCTAAAAGGATTACTATAATCTTTGAGACCTGGATCTTAAAACTGAAAATCTGGTTCACCATTTCATTTCAGGAAGGCAAAGAACCAAAAAAGTATCCTGATTTCTAGAGAATTGTAACAACATAAGCAGCACAGTTGTTGCCAAAGAAAATAAAAAAATTATTGATTATACAGTGCAGGATGACTATAATCTTTGAGAACTGGATCTTAGAACTCAAAATCTGGTTCACCATTCTTCATTTCAGGAAGGCAAAGAACAAAAAAAGTATCCTGATTTCTAGAGATTTGTAACAACATAAGCAGCACAATTGTCTTCAAAGAAAATAAAAAAATTATTGATTATACAGTGCAGGATGACTATAATCTTTGAGAACTGGATCTTGGAACTCAAAATCTGGTTCACCATTCTTCATTTCAGGAAGGCAAAGAACAAAAAAGGTATCCTGATTTCTAGAGATTTGTAACAACATAAGCAGTACAATTGTCTTCAAAGAAAATAAAAAAATTATTGATTATACAGTGCATCCTGAAATTCTTTGAACCTATTTATAACTTCAGGGTGGAATGGTAGATTTGGACTGGGATCCAAGAAGGAAGAGGAACACTGAAAATGGATTCTTGGAATTAATTTTGCGATACATTTTGAAATTACATCGAGACAACAAATATTTCTAATTCATTTAAAACATCCATGCTTGCAAAAGTTACTTCATCAAAAAAAAAGTGCTTGCATAAATGATGAACGTTAGTCTAATTGGACTGTGAAAAAATTGTTAAACAGCTCTTTTAAAAGCCATAACAAGATTTAACGGGTCAGGAGTGCAGGAAAAGACTATCCATTGTCTGTTTTTCTTTACAAAATAGATAAGCGCAATGTTCAAAAAGACAGAAACAGCCCCATACGCAGTTTGAGGTCCTCGCCACCTAGGCGGGCGCCCAGAAACACCTTCACGGGAATGTGCATGGGCCACCAGGGGGAGCAGGCATCTATTACAGCTTGGCTATAGTCTACTTATTTCAAACATAAACATTTTTTTGCACTATAATCTATTTGTTTCAAACAACAATATCTCAATAACTTCAAATACGTACATAAAGGAATATCACAACATTTTTTTACTTTTTCACACAAATTCTTTGTTGCCTAATGCAAAACCATATATTGCATTGATCCATAGTCAAATTTCTTATAATTTTTTGGGGGGTTTAGCTAATTTTCTTTATATTAATCTCCTATCTAACCAAAACATCCAACTAACCCTAATTTGGGAGTGTCCCTTGCACATTTAGTACCAGTACTACATATCATCGAGACTCGTCCTCTTTATCATCAATGATCATTTCAAAATCATGTTTAAGGAGTAAAAGAAACCATCTCTATGAAATAATCAACGGAAATCACAACTCAATTCCTCAAATTAGGGCTCCAAATTAACCATTAGTTTCCAGTAGAGCAGCCAAAAAACAATGATACAATCCCAAAACCTGTAAGCCCCCTAAATAAGTTTATTAAGGGTACTTGCGCTGTTTTGGGGGGCTAGATTGTCCCCCCAAAACCCTTTTCCCCCTTCTTAGGGGGTGAATACTTTTTTGCCCTTGGCTGTGGGGTCTTTTTCAGCCCCTCAACCAAGTTGGTCCAAAAGTGACCGCCTAGGCAGCGCCTTAACAGGCGCCTAGGAGCAAGGACGCCTAGGCGCCTGGGTAGGCATGGGGTTTCAAACTTATAACCGAAGAGGTTCAATGATAGAGAGCTCCATACACTCTTGGACTAAAGGCCCACATCGAATCACTAACAGAAGTTGACATAGCAAATTTACCCTAAAAACATTCGGTTTCAAGGCCATAAACAATATAAGCCAAGAACAAGTGCATCGTGTATTTTCTTAGCTGATACTATGAGACGGCCATAGGAAACAAAACAAGGCTAAGAACCAATTTTAAAGTACAGACACATTTGAGAATTAAATGAATGAAGAGTAGTTTATGAGTTGGGGAACACAACACTACATTTGTGTACCCCAAGGTATCAAACATGCATCTTTAAGATAGATGCAAAGTTGTGATCCTTTTTAAAAGAATAAAATCTAACTATTCAAATTTTTTTTTGAAAAAAATTATCTTTTTAGCTTTTTAATTTTTTTCCTTTTTACATATTAATGATCTCCATGTTAGAGACTATATATATCTAAACTATTAAGTTCAAATTCCATTAAAAAAATAGATAATAGAGAGGGGCCGCATATCTACAGGTGAGTCCTAGGACTCATAGAAACCTTGTCTTTAAATGAAAGCAGAAAAACAAAATTCATTCAATAGATCAAAATTTCCACAACAAATAGAAGTATATGTAGAGCAAATCATAGAAATATCTGAACTGATAATTTTGAAGTAAAAATCATTGTCCTAATTCAAGGTAAAAGTGCAGGAACAATCAATAGTGTTGTGATTGTATTCCTGGTTTTATCATTCTTTTGTAACTGCCATAACCATTCTCTCCTTCACAATATTTCCCTAGTCCAAATTTTTCCAATATAAAAATGTCCTTTTCTCCAATCACAGTGAATCAAATATATTTGTCTAAATTCCTTCCAAATTATAAACCTATAGATAAGACCTTTAAGTTAAACTGGATAATTAGGACATCATGATAAAATATATATAATGTAAGAATAGATAACTAATTCGTCTAATAAGAATCACATGAAAGAAGTGGCAATGTAGAATTCCAGGCTGTAAATTCAAAAAATTCCTTTTTTTTAATTAATTGCTAGAAATTCTACCACAAACAAGTGCCACAAATACAATAAAACACGCCTACTACAATCTTGGATCTTAATATCTTACTGCCAAAACTAAACTTTTATTGAAATTAAAATAAACTCAACAACTTTAGGAAATAAAATAAGCAAGAATAACAATAAATAAAATTGAATAAATATGGGAAGACTTACTGAATTTTTCCTAGAGTTACCCCCATAGGGCTTAGCACACCCCACACCCATCACTTGACCAATGGTGCACTTGATCCTAGAACCTACTGTATCTAACAATCTGAAACTGAGAAGCACTTATGGGACTACCTTTCTAAAACTTACTGAGGCATGACACAACTGACACCTCCCTTTCTGAAAACCAAGAGGGCTAGGCGTGCCCCCCTCCATGTCTCTTTCTTAGAGGTGTGTGCCACTCTTACACTTATGGAGGCGGCGTGCCACCTTTTAGAGAGGAGAGCAAGAGAGAGAGAGGCACGTAGGGATAGAGGGGGAGAGAGATATGTGTACTGAAATACAGGAGAGACCCCGCTATTTATAGCCCTCAAGGGCTAGAAGTCCCAATCAGATTAGGAGTTCAACATTATCTAGGATTTTATTAGGTGATCTGTGAGGTGAGAGAGAAAACTTAATATGAGGCATTCATCTCCAAGATCAACCATCATGATATAGAGTGAATATGGATTTTATTAGGTAATTCGTGAGTTGAGAGAGAAAATTCAGTTTTAAAATTTTCAAAATTTACAGTAACTCATTTTTAGTTCAAAACAATATTTCTAGAGATTCATAAAAATTTAAAACACACAGAAATACAACTTAGAAGTGGATAACTACCTAATGAGTAAAAAACAAATGAATATCAAGGCACTCCACCTATGCTATGATCCATGATCCACTACTATCTTCTCAAACTAACCCAACAAGACCCTTGACCCATAGTCAAGTGCAGGGGTTTATGATTGGCCCATCAATGTTAGCTAGGAAACTGTAGAACCACAATCCCAGTATGTGGAATACAAGCTCCCCCTTAAGAGCAAGTCAAATGCACACACAGTGCTAGGGGCGCTCTCTCTAAACACATGTGCACGTCTCCCTCTATGGGGTTTCTTCCCAATATGCGGTTGTCATCTATGCACATGCCATACGGAAAACTTTTAAGGATTTGGCCCTCGCTCTCATAGGCCCTTCTTCTGCCCACAGGAGACCACACAACTTTCATGGTCTACAAACGTACATGGGCATCTCTCTAACCTCAACAAGGGATGACTCCACAATAAACCTTCAACGGCAATGCCACATGCCCAGGGGCAAGGGTTTGGGACAATGACCTAGGCCATAGACTCTCCAACCTTAGGTCAATAAGCGCACACTCCTAGTGAAGTGCACAATTCACTATAAATGATTTTATTTACAAGCTCTCTAGGCATATAAAGGCCACAAACTCCAACATCACATACAAGAAAACCATAGGCTATTGGGTTATAACCAACCATTGAAGCGATGGATAGCAATGAAGGGAGTCAAGGACCGATCAATAGAGTCATATCTGAAATGTCGACTATGTGACTGGGCAAGTCAATATCAATTAAAATTTTTCTATACTTTTCTTATTATATTGTCACCCAAGTCACTTACAAGTGTCCAAATACAATATAAATGAAATAAGATTGCCAAGATTTCTCACTTGCTTGCCATTAAAACAAAAATGCAGATCTAGAAATAAAAGATGCAATGGAATTAAAAAAGCATATACCAAGAGAATACCTTATACCTTGCCTCAAGTTACCTTCAAGAACTTTGTATACCCCACGCTTGGCCTCCTCCATCAATAGCACGCGGGATCTTGGTTCAAGATCTCATCTCAAAAACCCACTAGAGAGCATAACATGAGATATCCCTTGACCAAGGCTCAACACATGTGCATAAGGTCAAGGCCTAGGGCTAGGCTTGTGTGGCTTGGGTGTGCCACCCCTTAGGGTTAGATTTCCTTCTTAAAACCCTAAGATTAGAGAGAGAAGAAGAGAAAGAAGTTTAGAGAGGGGTGTGCCACCCTTTAGAGGCTCAGAGAGAGAGAAAGAGAGTTGAGGTGTGTAGAGAATGAATCCCCATAGCTAGTTTATATAGAACAAGGCTAGGGTTTTAGGGTTAGGGTTTTGCCATCATTATGAGATTTAATCTTGACCTTTGATCTTGAAAGCTTGTAGGGTGAAGAGATCTCATCCATTCATTCCTTAGATTAGCCATCATGATTAAAGAAATGAGGTGGAACTATTATACCTCAGTTTCTATAACTCCATTCCCATCAAAAATTGTGTAGAGAAAGTAATAAATCTATTATAATTATTTTCTTACACTTTCCCTTTTGAAAGCAATCAAAATCCCTACACAAAATACTTTCCTAAAACCTCAGCATAATTGCCATAATGTAAAATAGGAACGTTTGGAGGAGGTGGGGCACGCCACTCATGGGTGGGCCATGTGGGCCCCACGACCCATATATTGGTGGGCTCAATGAGCTCCAAAGGGCCCCCAATAATAAAAATAATATTTTCATATAATAAAATAATTTTATAGTCTCTAAATAATTTATTTTTCTCTCTGATTAAAATAAATCAAGAAAATTGATATTTTTTCTCTTCTAAAAATCATTTTTCAATAAAATAAAATACCTAGAGAGGTCTAAAAATTTATTTTAATTAACTAAAAATTAATTAAAACATATTTAAGCATATCTAAGTAGATTCGATGGGAATTGGATCCGTAGAGTTAGGATTACGATCTATATACTGAGGACTCCATCCTCTCTAGAGAACGTATTTCACTGTACCTTCTCAAACTGACCCAACAGATCCCATGACCCACAATCTTTTGCAGGAGTTCATGATTGGACTATCAAAGTCAGCCAATAAAGTGCAGGAGATATGATTCTAGACTGTAGATTACAGATCCCTCCCTGAGGACAAGTCCAGACCCCATTTCAGCAGCATGCTCCATAGGTCCTTCCAATACAGTCTGGTGTTGCAGGGAGTCACCTCTTCTACACATGTACACGTCACACACCCTTATCCATAAAGGGCTGCTTCCTAGACGACTATCTAGTGTACATGATGTGTGATGGTAATGATGAGGATTTAGGCCTTTGTCCTCTCAAGCCATCCATCACACACACGGGTCAAGTCCAAGTCCCCTGGCCAACTGTCCTAGGCACAAATCCGACCTCATCAATAAATAACTCCACATCGAAAACGCTTATCGGTTGTGTTCACCTGTGCCCAAGACTACGAGTTTTTGGACATCACATTGAGCTATAGCCAGTCAAAGCTCAGGTGTGTCTAAGCATTAGAAATGCCTCACAGTCCAATGTTGACCACACTGCCACTAGAGCTAATCATTTCACTATATGTTTTTCAGTACATGCTCTCATAGGGCCTTCAAATGGCCACAAAACTCTAACAATATCCCCCATGATAGATCCCATTCTCTTCATTTATGCCTATCACTTACTGTGGACAATGATGATCAAGAGGATTGCGGTATTTCCTTTGTTCATTGGATAATACGCCATCCCATCAAAACATTCAACAAGAAGCATTTCTATTAATGTCTAATCAACATTTTGAAGCTACAAATGGGTGTGTAAGCATCATAAAAAATATTATAATTTACCATTCAGCAAAGAAAATATTAATAATCAGCGGACTTTTGTAGCACAAATGCACAATCGTTTTACTAGAACGAGCCAAAATTTAATTGACATGAGCACCTTTTGGACACGCCCGGATATAGCAACTAGACGACTCTTGATCTGTCTAACATGCTCGAGATTTAGAGTGCTGATTTTTGATGTCAAATCATCCAAAGCAGGATATGCTTCGTGTTCCAATGTAGAAGCCTGATAGACATAAAAGTGAAAGAAAGTTCACATAAGGAAAGATGGAGTGGAATAAAATGACCAAACAAAAAAACTTTTTATAAAGATTTATCAAAATAACAACACTTAATTTCTATCTCAATTTATATTAATTAGTATACAAATGACAAACGAATTTAATAAATTATTCAAACTTAGAAGTTTCATGTTTCGTAATTCTTCAATTCCTCCTTATTATTGAGGCTGTTATACAAGTTGAGAGAATATTTGTGTGATGTTCGTAACATGTCCAAATCATAACTTCTATGGATCCAACAAATAGCATGCTGCAAAGATATGAAAGAGGAAGAAAGACTTGAGAGATGCATTTGGATACCCTACATGGAAGGATTTAATACATGATATCTAACTATGATCATGTGAAGAACAATATCCAACTATGAACATGCAATACGGGGAACAACTTTAGGGATGAAATGCAAGCTTTATCAAATCGTTAGTTGAGATCTATTGATATTCCTACTTATTGAACAACCATGTTAAAAATGTGGATACATGAATTAGCGCCTAACGTGGATATGGGTGTCAGAAACACCAACATTAAAATAAGGCTTTTCCACAAGACTTCGTATATCATCTAAACAAAGAGAGAAGGGGGATTAGGTGTCATAAAAGTATTTTGTCATTGAGATTTCAACAAGAAAGGTCAACAAGAGTTTACGATTTTAAAGTGACAAATGGTGTCATGCCTTTGGTGTGCACCAAAAATTGTACACATGCATTTTTATTTTACATATTTGACCAGTTGTAATTCTTACCAGTTTCCACCCCATTTTATAATTAATATGATGTGCAAGCATTGGATATCATTTATCACTTTTATTCAATAATGATATCAGGAATTCAAAAAATTGCACAATAGTCAGTGAGATGAGACGATTATGTTGGCATATACTGCCCACAAACTCATCTCAACAAATTTGTACCCAAGTTTGCATTACTTATCCCATACTCACTCGAAGCGATTCGGAAAGCGAATTAATTTAGGAATCAAAAGCGCGGAATTGTAGCCGGCTGGATGATTCCTATTTTCGAAATCGATCTCCGTACAAGAGGAATTGTGGGGGACGAGATTCCGATTTCTTGGAATCGAGATTCGACCAAAATAGAATAGAATTGAGATCCCTACTTAGATTGAATCGAGATTCCTAGTTATTTTGAATTGAGTTTCCAACCTAATGGGAATCGACCAATATGGAATCAAGATTCCGACATGTTTGGAATCGTGAGGAAACTGCAACTGAAACACTACATGTCTCAATGTCATTCATTGACCGACATACTATACATGCATGCTTGTATTATTTGTGTTACATTATTTCGAACATCTTGGAGTTGCAGTCTCTCCACTGGATCAATACAATGTACACTTAAAAGAATTAAGTTGAAAATGTGGACCACCACTTTGGTTTCTATTAGTCATTTCATACCAAAAAACATGACTACACCGTGTAGCTTGAGATTGAGTGTCTAGCTCGAGTAGTTTGATGCCTCGAAAACTTCTAAATATCACTTCATTGAAAAAAGTAAAAAAAAACGAAGAAGGAAGGGGGGGGGGGGGCATCGAGATCTGGTAAACGTTTCAATAAGTGTAAAATCGAGATTCGCCAATTGCAGAATCGAGAATCAGTGAATATTGGAAATGAAATTTTCTAAGTGTTGGAATTGAGATTTCTAAGACAGAATCAAGATTCTAGATTTCATCGAAACGGATCATGTAAAGATTCCTAGTCAGAATCGCCGAATTAGAATTGAGACCTTCGATGAGCGATTCGGTTAACTATGACTTATCCACTATGGAAATACCAAATGCAGGAACATAACAGTCACAAACATTGTCCATATATTATCCAATTTATCCAAAGATCCACTCACGCTTCCACGAGACTAGGAGACCTCTGAGCCATCTGATGATATTTAACAAGTCACACTCCAAGATACACAAGACTAGGAATGCCACCATCATTTTCAATAGAAAGAATGACTAGTTTTGGAATCTAGCTTCAGTAGCCTGAGATACCACCATAGATTAAAGGTAGAAAACAAATTAGGGAAAACTCTCGGAATAAATATCAACCATTGATTAAATTATGAAGCTACTTGTGCTTTATCACTAGCAACACCCTATATGCATTTTTTTAAGAGTCTTATTGCATTTCTGCGCTATCTCAAATTACAACGAGCTTTCTCCACCTAAATTTTATGTCCATGTCAAGGTGACAATGCCCATATTGAAACCAAACATGCCAAAAAATACTAGTTCAGATGGCATTCTACGTGGATGGCGGCACAATACACCCATCCATATTGTTTTTTTCAGTTTGAGATGAAATACAATTGTAGAAGCCTTTAGCCAGACAGTTTTTCAACACGTTGTTAAGAAAACTATTAGAACCAATTTGTGACTCTTTTCCATTGATTAGTTGATATTATCAGTAATCTATTACAGGAATAAGTCCTTTGGTATTTCTTATAAGACTCCTAACTAGAACTATAAAGGAATGGGTGCTGTTTTGCATCATTCCATTCATACATTCTTCATTTCAAAGATGTCCGAAATTAAAGAGTGAAGATTTGCTTTGTCCTTAGTTACTGGGATTTCCTTACATGGGTGGCAATCCCGCTCCACGAACGCGATCCAGTGCTCTAGAGCAGGATCGAGGCATGGCCTCAACCTCAAGTTGGGGAAGATTGATCCCAACACAATAGGTGTCGATCAACAAGATGATAAATTCTTAAAGGAAAAGGAGCAATAAATTCATGGCAACAAGAAAAGAAAATAACAAATCCATGTCCATAAAAAAATAAAGTAATAAATATATATCAACAAATAAGAAATTAATGAGTATTCAAATCAGTGTCCCATAAAATTTTCAAAGGGAAAGATATTCTAAAATTTGCATCAATCAAAAAGAATTCTTAACTCACTGCTCCAAAATTGCATTTAACATGTGAAATGGTGGGTCCAACGTGTTACAGGATTTTGACCTCCATTTTTCTAAAAACTGTGTACTACAGAGGAACGATCGGTCTCCCATCTCTCTGTATCTCTTTTTTACTCTACACTTATATCTTCTGCTCCCTACACCATGCTTTAATTTTTTCTTTCTTAATTGAAATGAAGGGGGATAGGTGAAAAGTGGAGGGCCTATGTATGACCTTACCAAAATATCATCCTATATTATCATCTAAAACATAAGATCAAATAATATTATATTATGAAGGACTTGTGTGTGAGAAGACTCAAGTAAATAAATGAGTTATTAATCTCCAATCTTATTTGAGTACATCTATTTTAAGTATAAAAATATATTCCTAATCTATTAATTTTGCACCTAAATATTATTAAAAAATTATGCCTAACTTTCTATTTTAAAATTTCTCCTTTTTTATATACTTATTGTACATGCACTCTCAAACTAGGGAACTCCTAGCAAGCTACAATCCCATGCTCCAGCCTCCAATGTGTGTGTGTGTGTTTTATATACTTAATGTACATGCACTCTTAAACTAGGGAACTCCTAGCAAGCTACAATCCCATGCTCCAGCCTCCAAATATATGTGTGTGCGTGCGTGTGTGTGTGTGTTCATCTACCTTGCAATTTTTCATACTAAAGGTCAGGAATTATTAATGCAACACCGAATATGTTTTATGGGGATTGTGTGACCACATTTTGGCAGAAACGAAGTCCATCCTAACCACCATGAGGATAATAATAAATGGTGCTTGGTTCCATCATTATTGGAGAGAGATCACATCAATACTACCAAGTGGCAAGAAAGAAGATGGAAACACCTTAGAAAGTTATATTCTAGTGGGTTTTGAAAAGATTTGTTAGGGCATCCAATTTTTTTGTGAATATCCCACATAATGCTAATAAGGCAGCTCGCAATTTGGTTAATGAGGGTTGGGGAGTGATCCACTTTTAGTTTGCTTAGTTGTTGAGAATTCCTAGTTGAGATACTTCCTCAACAGCTTTGTGACTATTTCTGCTGTTATATGCCTTCTATTTAATTTGTTGATCAATGAAGCCATCACCTTTCTCTAGATAAAATCTTTGGTTCCCAGAAGCATGACATGGGGCATGAGATTACATAAACCCACTTCTATGTTCTATGAATCACAGTATGTATATGTTTCAAGAGGCAAGGAACAAGATATAGATGCCACCACACGGTTCATTGTTCATGCAACAAGCAGTGGAGGATCTGACCCACCCAGAACTTCTTTGGGTAGAGGCATCTTAGAAAAGAGAAGAAGAGAACAGCAGCATAGTGTTGGAAATTTTCTCAACTTTTCCAATGATAGTTTTGTTATGGATGATCAAAAACAACATCATCATCATCCGAGCCTTATTCCAACTATTTGGGCCAGATGACCAAAAACAATATCATTCAACAAAACTGCTTTAGTTTCCTTCGGAACTAAGTAGATATATAAATAACTTTAGACATACAAGTCATGATTCATTGCCTAGTGCTTCTCAAAGTTTGCTAAATATGATTTTATAACCATGAGTTTTCATATGTACAGTTTCTTTTAGACCAATCTGTAAGAAAATTTATTACAAGGCATATCGTTGATCCACACCCTATCCCAAGACTAAACCATAAAATATACCAAAGCAAAACTTCGATAATATACAGCACATACCTCAAATTCAAGGCACCGACAAGCAGATTCAAGACAAACCTCGAGTGCAATAAACTCAAAAGGTAACACCTTAGAAGCACCGCTAAATGATTTTTCTGCTACAATCGCTACTAATGAAGAAACCATTGTGCCAAAAGGGCTTGTCACTGCAGAATGGGGGGACTGTGGCAAAGACTTGTCCACGCTATTTGCATCAGCAGAACCATTCTCCATACCCTAAACATAAAAATAGCAGTAATTCAAAGTTCAAACTAAGATCAAATATTTGTAGAGAAATAACAAAGAAATCTACTAACTCCAAATTGATTTTATATAACTGATAGGCAAATCAGAAAAGGAATGAACAACAACTACAATTAAAAATGAAATAGAATTCAGATGAATTATGACAACACCCTGAATACCCGCTGATAACCATAACTGTTTGTCAAGGATCTACAGCCCCAACAATGCACAATTGTATGGTAAATGTGCTAGCTAGTCCATCACTACAATAACCACTTTGGAAGTTAACAATGAAAGAAAATTCAGCCGCCTGGCCACCTAGGCAGTCCAGCCGCCTTCTAAACTGTGAGGGCCTATGCGGGGCCCTATTTGGGCATTTACCTAGAGGTCTGCCTAGGGGCCCAAATCCCACACAAATGAAAGGCGTGGCGGTGTGGAAAGATATAAAACCAAAATTATCTTCTTTTCCTTTATAATTGAATCTGCATTCCACTTACAAATGCCACAATACACTGTTGTAAATCAGAAATAAAACCCTTTATACAACCTCGGACCTTTCCTTTTATTGCCACAAATAAATAAACAAAATCCAGGAACAAAAACCAATCTTCCACTATCAATTTAAATAAAAGTATGTTCCTAGAAAATTACAGTAAATATGCAAATAGCTGAAAAATAAATAAAACAACGAGAAAGACAAACTGGAATGCCTACAGTTACCCCCATAGAACTTGGTAAACCCTATACCTGATTTCCTGAACGAGGACACACTTTTTATCCTATTGATCTTGCTAGAATTTCAGAGCCGTGAAGCTTCCTTAGGAAATATCTTTAAACTAGGGTATTAGATAGCATAAAAGCACACGTAAGGTTTGTAGGAAGCCCTTAGGAACAAATTAGGGCATAGCATGAAGAGTGAAACTCTTCCAAGGATGGGCATGCCTCTCTTCAAACAATAAAACCCTACAATGGGGCCATACCCTCTTATTTTATATTTAGCATGGCGTGCCTATTATGGAGAGTGAGGAGAGAGAAGATGATAGCAAAAGATGAGAGGGAGAGTTTTGCTTGGGACGTGGAGGAGAGACATATGGAGAGAGAGCGGCTCAATTGTATAGAGAATTAGAAGGGAGTTCACCTTAGTTTATCCACAACACCCCCCTCCCCCCCTGGTATGACTTATCCAATGACACAGCTTGGCTAATAGGCATTTAGGAAATCTGTGAGGTGAGAGAGAATTAATTTGAGCCATCCATTTTGTAAATCAGCCATCATAATTTAGGGAGGAATATTAGAAATATTACCCCCTTAATATTTGACCCATATGCACTTCTAGTTATAATAGGATTGGATTAAAATTAAAACCTTCTAGAACTTTCGAATTTATCTCTAATTGTAGGAAGTCAAATAATATATTTTGGTTAATACTAACTCCTACAAAATAAGGACACACATTACCTTTTATTTTATATGATTATCTGAAATAACTTAAGAAAACATAAGGGAGAGGTGTGTGCCCCCCCCTATGGGTGACATGTGGGCCCCTCATGTGCTCCACACCCCACCCAAGGCATATGGTGTTGGATCCAAGGGCCCCACATGTGCCCTTCCTTACTCTTATAGTTTAAAGAAGTACCGTTTTCGAGGAAATTACAGCAAAAAATAATTTAAAAAATTTTACAAATTTCACAGAAACAGTTCTAATAAAAAAAAAATATCTAGAAGTGGACTAGTACCAATGGGTCAAAATAAGTGATTACAAGGGCACTCCACCCAACCCAGTAGACGTGATCCACAATTGTCTTCTCAAACCAACCAACGAAGCCCACGACCCACAGTCTCATGCAGGGGCTCATGATTGGCTCGTTAAAGTTGACCAATAAACAGTGAATCTACGATCCTAAAATGTGGGTACCAGTTCCCCTCCTTAAAGTCTAGCACATGTCACTACAGTGCAAGGGGCACTCTCAACGCACAACTACACGTGTCCCTCTATAGGGTTGCTTACCAGTATTGCGGTTGTCATATGTATATATGTTGTGCAGAAGTTTGTCAAAGATTTGGACTTCACTCTCACATGCCTACATCTGCACACCGGAAACCACATAACTCTCCTGGCTAACAAAAACAACCATGGCCATCTCACCGACCTCAACAAAGATGAACCTCTACAAACCCTCTTCAGCAGTGCCACATAACTAAGGGTAAGGTTTTGGACATGAGCAGGACCATAGATCGCCTAAACCATGCTCAATCAAACATCACACACTCCTACTGAAGCGTATAATTCACTATAAAAATTATTTACATGCTCTCACGACTTTTAAAGGCCACAAAACCCCAACATCTCCCACCTTTGAAGGCCGTTCAATAACTCTCTCTCAAGCCCATCCCATTTACATGCTTGGCGAACACATTGACCACAAACATAGCCTTTATCAGGAGATAAGCAACCTCAATCTCTCCTATTTGGATCTTGTTACGAATGAGGTACTAGTCCGCCTTACTATGCCTCGATTTTTTATGAAATTGTGGCTCTTTGGTCACATAAATTGCTGATTGGTTGCCACAAAAGTCTCTTACATGGGAATTTTACTCGATCTAAGTTGATTTAGATACTTCTTCGACCAAATTGTTTCTTTAGCTACAAGACAACAAGCCACATACTCTGACTCCATAATTGAGAGTGCAACGACCTCCTGTTTCTTGGTAGAAACACCCAGATGTGGACTTCATCTCATTTGGATTGCCCAGATAGTTCGCATCTTAATATCCCTATAATTGTATATCTAAGCCTCCTCCATAAGTAAGCATGTGACTAATCGTTCCCTTAAATATCGCAAAACCTTTTAGTGCTCCATGCTTGGATAACTATATAACTTGTTGATGACACTCATGGCAAATGATAAATTCAGACTCGTCCCTAATATAGCGTTTAGTGACCCAATTGAATTTTTGTACGAAATTCTCAACATGGATTCTCTCTCTCCTGAAGTAGTGGGACACATTGCTAGGCTTAACTTGGTCATCTCATTAATGGAGGTTAATATGAGCCGAGAATTTTCCAGTGCAAATCTTTCTAGAATTTCCCTAATATATGTCTCTTGAGATAATTGAATGGTTCTCTCTTTTCTATTTCTGGTAATCTTAATTCCCAAGGCATATGATGCTGATCCAAGATCTTTCATATTGAAATGTTGTGACAAGAAATCTTTCATTTCCAAAACAAAAGTCATTGAACATCTGAAATTAACATGTCATCCACCAATAGAGTGATGAACACATCGCTCCCACTAACGTTGACATAAATACAATAATCCTCCTAGTTAGGCACAAAACTAGCTTTTGACAAGGTCACTTGAAACTTAAACCTTTAAAAGGTGTTCCAAGTTAGTTATTTCAGCTCCACGGCTTCTTTTCTTCTACTTTCCATCCCCTTAAATCAAATGAAGTAAGCGCTAGGTTCAACTATTTGTAGTCAACAAGTATTTAGTCGATCAGAATCGAAGTAACAAAAAAGGAGTTTTATTTCTTGACATAAGTTTTAATTTCATCAAGTGCCACGATCATGGCCAGACTAGAAAGGAGGGGGATGTACCAGTGCCTCGATGCTTGCTTAAGGCCATCGAGGGATTTCTTAAGTTTACAAACCAGGCTTCTTTTCCCTTCTCTATGAAACCCCTTGGTTGTTTCATATAAATTTCTTTTTCTAGCACCCCGTTTAGAAATGCAGTCTTTACATCCATTTGGAGGAGTTCGAACTCCAAATGGGCTACAATGGCTATTAGGATCCTAATGAAGGGAAATTTAATAGCAGGAGAGAAGGTCTCATCATAATCTATTCCTTCTTTCTTGGTAAACCTTTTAGCTACCAATCTTGCTTTTTATTTTTCTAATTTCTCTTTCGAGTTTAATTTTTTCTTGTAGATACTTTTATAGCCTATAGGTTTTCTTTTAGGAGGTAGGTGTTGAGGATTGATGTCTTGTATTATGAGAAAATATATTTATCAAAGGTGGAGTCAAAGAGATAACTCAGGAGGGCTGTTAAAAGCTCAAAGGGCTTGAGTGTATCTGTACATAGGGTATATCGGTAATCTGTACTATCTACTTAGGACTCTATATAATGTAGCGATGGAGGTTCTTTTTAGGGTTAAGGAAAAAACATAGATTTCTTTATAATCAGAGAGAATAGAGAGGCGTGAGGAAGAGAGCTATTGTAACCCTATTCTCCATTGCTAGTAAAGAAGCTCTCATCTCCCGTGGACGTAGGCACGTTGCCGAATCACGTATCTCTTAGCGTTGTGGTTGGTTGTCTCTTTCTTTTGTGTTTGTTTTCTCTTTTTTGTTTTCTTATATTGCTTTTAGGGTTTTTTACAATAGGTTCACGAAATTCCAAACATGGTTTTGTTTTATCAAGTTAAGTTCATCCATCGTGGCTTCTTCTCTCTGTGCCTTTTCATGACATGTTATGGCTTCTTAATAGGAATAAGGTTTGGGTAAGGATTCTTTTCCAATTCTCCCATAATAAAGTTAATAAAATTTTCATGAAAACGGCATTTTTAAATAACAAACACCGCATTTTCAAGTCAAAATTTGTCTCAAGATACGTACACAGTATTGGATGCTCATTGCCTGTGTCGTATCGGATTTGTAGATGTTCGGCACGAGGGTAAGTGACCCAAGTAACGACATGTGGTCAGACCCCAAACACGTGTCCATGTTTCATAGTCAAGAACATTTAACAGGAAACAATATTCAATGATCAAAACACAGAATAGAATTGAATTTCACCCAAAAAAAAAAGGTCCAATTTTATCAGATTGAATAAAAATGAAATCATTTCCAAATCAATAATGACTGTCTCTACTAAAAGGAAGTTCTTAACCTACCTTTCTCGCACTTCCACTAGAATCTGGAATTCTATTTTGAAGGTCTTGCACAAATGTAGCAACCAAAGGATCATTTGAATTCAAAACCAGAACCTCAACTGCTGTTATAATCGCTTTAATATGCTCAAGATTGATCATGATTGCTCTTTCTCTCCCTAAAATCGCAGAAGGATAGGAGAGAGCAGGATCAAGAACTCGAAGATCACGAGCAGGTAAACCTGTTCGTCTCATGATCGAATGCTTTCCTGCTTCTTCAAGGTAAGACCGACCAGAAACTGTGATAACCATCCATGGCTTAGGACCACTGGCCCCTTTTCTTCTAGGGCCACCTGGTACCCTAACTGCTTCATCTTCAGCCATGACCTTAGCAGAATTCCTCTGGTTTTGAAACTTGGAATCCATGAATGTGAATTCTTAGGTTTTTCGAATAGGGATTTCAGTTGTTTATGTTGATAGATTGCCATGATCTCCATCTTCTTCTTTTTCTGGGGTAGGTTTTCTCTGGTTCAATATTGAGAACGCAAGGATTTATTAATTGACACTCACCTATCCTCAGAGTGGAAGTCCACTTTGTGATGGTTGATTATAAATAGTTTATAGAGTCGGGGAGCAAAGTGATCCTTTTTTTATTTTTCAGATATTCGACAGGGGAGAACAGGGCTTCTAATTTCCCGCCATTTTTAGGGTTTGCGTCATCTAAATTACAAAAGAACAAAGAAAAAAAAAAAGAAGGAAAATTTACATAACCTCAAAATGGACTTCCTAAGCACTTTAGCCCCGCCTAATTTTTTCTAACACTTTTTTTCTCAAAACTATCTTTTCTAGCAAGTAACTTCTTAACTCAAACAACAAAAAACCTTAACCCCTCCTTTACCTACACGTAACCCTAACCCATTTTTTTATTTTTCTCTTTCTACTTTGAAGACCCACTTTTGCCGGTCTCTCGCTCTCTCTCTCTCTCTCGCTCTCTCCCCAAAACCAGCCCGAGCTCCCTCTCTCTCGCTCTCTCTCCCCAAAACTAGGCCCGAGCTCCCTCTCTCTCGATCTCTCTCCCCCAAACCAGACCCAAGCTTGATTTCTTAGCCCAACCCTATTTCTCGGGCCAAGCTCAATCTCAATTTCTCGCTCTATCTCTATGAAGGACCCTATCTCTCGGGCTATCGATTTCTCAGCCCAGCCCAAGCTCGATTTCTCGCTCTATCTCTACGAAGGACTCTATCTATCGGGCTATCGATTTCTCATTAACCATGCTCCCAAAGCCCGAGCTCAATCTCTTAGCCCCAAATCAGCCCCATCAAAGGTACGAAATAATATTTTATTTATTTTTTATAAAAATAAAAAATAAGTTGTTGTGTCATTCCCCAAGTCATTCCCATAATCTCTTTTTCAATAATGTTTACATTTCTATCTATTTTTCTCTTTGATCCCACATGAAATTTTACTTTATTTAGGCAAATTATTGATAAATATATATTGCTGTGACATTTCTTTCATGGCTAGATAGCATGCATTGTAGATTTAAATTGGAGAGAAGAAGTTGAATCCCTTTGTATCTGTTTCTCACTCTTGATTATCCACTTTGTTTAAACTATTTAAACAAATAGATGATTAGTTTGAATGTGGTATCCTAATTTGTATTCCCTATTGTAAATTTATTATCTATTGGGCAGTGCTAGCTAAACATTTGGGCAGTTCTAGCTATACCCTGTCGAAGGCATTAAAGACTTATTTGGATATGGCTTCTGGCTACTTTGAACAAGTTGTTGAGATAGTCATAACTCATAATACAGATACATTGGGGTTCAGCCTCTTGATTTACTGTCTCAAACTACAACCATATATCACAATGTACAACTAAGCCATAGCAATGCCTTAGCTCGGGAGAAGGGACTCATTTATAATTTGCTGCAACCATAGATCACAGTGTACAACTAAGCCATAGCATTGCCTTAGCTCAGGAGAAGGAACTCATTTATAATTTGCTGCAACTTGAAAACCTGAAAAATGAGGAAGATACAAGCTGGTAGATAGATCAATATAATCTAGAAGTTATAAAATTGAATGCACTAGAAAGGGGCAGAAGCCAGGTTGCTATAAGTATCATTTTAGTAGAGTTCAAGTATATTCCATAGTCGCTCCAACACCTATTAAGCTTTTTTCCCTTTGCAAATAGTACTTCTGGTGCTGCTTAACTAGCACTGCCCAAATGTTTAACTACGATTGAGCTGTATTTTTATTCCCTATTGTAAATTTATTCCCTATTGGGTTTATTTTGCTATAAATTTTGGGCATGAATGATCCATCTTATTTATTTTGTTCAAATTTAGTTTGTCAATAAAAAACAAAAATTATGCCTAGCTCTTGTTAATTTTAGTAGGTTATATAGCCCCCAACAATATGCCTACCTCTTATTAAAATTTAATTAGCTCTTTGAAAAAAATCTAGCAGAAAACCTGTTGTGCCGATCATATTTGATAAGTTTCCACGTTGTAGAGATACTATATGCCTGATTGTGTACTGCCAAAATTTGAGAAGATGCAAGTGATTCTTGTTGGGCCACCCAAGTGGGATAAGAGAGAAAGGGTCGGTTTACACCCCATAAGTTGGATTGACGAGTTGAGTAGCGAGATAAGTGACTGGCGGCAACGATAACACAATGTTGTCAAGGCAGATATGGATAAATATGGTGGAATGCCTACAAATGAATATATGACTTGGTACAACATGTTCACCCATAGATATAGAAATACGTACATGTGCCTCCCCTCGCAATCGCAATCAAATGTGCCCCCCTCGCAAGCCATGATGTTAGAAATACTCCCATGTGCCCCCCCCCCCCCCCCCGCAAGCACAATCAAATGTTCCCACCCTTGCAAGCCATAATGTTAATATGTATTCATTGTAATTACCTATTTTGTTTTTTATTGTCTACTTGCAGTAATTAACCTGTATAGGGATGCTATAAGCTGCACTTTATGGTGAAGTATTAGCGGGGGAATCCAAACATTATGTATAGGCAACCCATGATTTGCTATTGCATAACACTCCTATAGAGACAAATGCCGAGGAGATGGTGGAAGCGAAAGCGTGGAGAAAGATGGTAGAGATCATGAAAGCAAGAGCGATGAGGGAGATAATGGAGATGGGGAAATCGAGATCGATGAGGGAGATGGTGGACATGAGGAAAGCGAGACTGAGGAGGGAGATGATGGAGATGAAGAAAGAGAGAGGAAGACCAATGAGGAAAATGAAAGGAGAACAAATAACAGAAATGACACGAGTAAAAACCACCAGATTAAAGCTAAACAAACCTTGCATGAAGAATCAAGGTGGAATTTGCAATCGCGGGTGTCCAAGAGGAAAGGACTAAGGAGGAACCTGCTGTAAAGGGAAAGGATATTGCAAGCTAACCAAAAAAAGGGCTGAGGCGAAGACAGTGATTGACATGCATTTTTTAGATGATACCCGAATATGTAATTTGAAAAGTGACTTATGCAAGTTGCAAAGGCTATGAACCTTTTTCTGAGATGTATTTTTTAATTGATATTTATTTTTTACTTTGATATGTATATTTGAAACAAATGTTAAGTAGTGAGATTCAAAGAGTGAAATATCAATTCTTTTTGTACAATTGAAGCTACTCTATTATAGTAGCCAGCTAATGAAATGTAAAATCTTTTTGTTAATATGTAAAGGCTATGAACCTTTTTTTGAGATATATGTTTCAAATGATATGTATTTGACTTTGATATGTATGTTTGAAACAGATGTTAAGTAGTGAGATTCAAAGAATGAAATGTCCATTTTTTTTGTACAATTGAAGCTACTCTATCATCGTAGCCAGCTAATGAGATGTCCATTCTTTTTGTTATCATGTAAACTTCCAAATACAGGTTGAAAGATGCCCATAATCAATGCCATTGAACACTCTCTTGACATGGACACGATTTTTTTAGGTAACCTCTTTTATAAGGTTTTGCATGTCTATTCTGTTGCATGATTCACTGAAGTCACTGTAAATGGTGTGGTCCGGCATTTGGAAAGGGCAGTCCGGCACTAAAGTCACTGGAATTGGCCCGGTCCAGCGTTTTAAATGGGCTATCTGACACCTCAAGTAGCCAGTTCGACAGTTCCAGGAGGCAATCCAGCATTGAAGTCACTGCAACTCGTCGATCCGGTGTTTGGAAGGGGCAGTTCGACACTGAAGTCACTATAAATGGTGCAGTCCGGCATTGAAGTCACCAAAATTAGCCCGGTCCGGTGTTTCAAAGGGGTAGTCTGGCACTTCAAGCAGCCAGTCCGGCAGTTCTAAGAGGCAATCCGACACTGAGGTCACTACAACTCACCAGTTCGGTGTTTGGAGGGATAGTTCGACACTGAAGTCACTGTAAAATGGTGCAGTTCGACATTTGGACGGAGCAGTCCGGCATTGAAGTCATTGGAATTGGCCCAGTCCGGCTTTACGAAGGGGCAGTCCGGCACTTCAAGCAGCCAGTCCGACAGTTCCAGGAGGCAATCGAACACTGAGGTCACTGGAACTCACCAGTCTGGCGTTTGGAAGGGGCAATCCGGCACTAAAGTCACTGTAAATGGTGCAGTTCAGCGTTTGGAAGGGGCAGTCCGGCTTTACGAAGGGGCAATCTGGCACTAAAGTCACTGTAAAT